AATATCCTCAGCGAAGAGCAGCTCTGCGCCGAAGGGCTGTGTTTCTTGTGCAGTCTCCAGGACTGGTGCGTCCAGGAAGGTGGATGAGTGTTTGTGTGCATCTGAGTGTAAAAGTTTGAAATTCAGGAGAAGGTGAGCGTGATGCTTGTTTGGCATCTCTGAGTTATTTGTACACAAGACTGAATTAATTTCAGCACACTGAGATGATTGCGTGAATTCCAGAAGGAGTTGCTTTTGTTAAACTTGTGACTAAAAAGGACACCAGAGAAATTCTTGCCGTAAACAATCACAAAATGTCAAGAGCAAGACATTGTGAAAAAAACCCTGTATTGTTTTGTCAATAAATTATGCTTTCTCCTACATAGATCACAGAAATGGGACTTTACCCTGGAAATAGCAATATTTGATACCCCAGGCAGCTTATTCCCAGCTCAGCTCACACTTCATTGAATACACTGATCGATTATCCGCGGCTTAACCAAGCCTTCTCATTTCCTGCCTTCCATTACTGCGCTCAATCAAGCCGCCGGTTCTTTGTGGCCTGCCTTGTGCGCTGAGATAAGCCATCAAGGCATGTTTCTATTAGAAAAGCTCTTGTAGATGGAATAGTCATTAGATAACAGTAACGGGTTTAAAGGTTGCAGGCTTTGTGTTGGTTGGGGTTAAGAGGACAGGAACCAGAAGGGCGGCTGCTGCTGCTGCCTTGGGTTGTTGTGTTGGAGGGGCAGAGGGGATTAATCTGCACATTGCTGTATTTAGTGCTCTGATTTAACGTTTTTATTTCTTGCTGAGTACTGATAGCTCTCATTTTCGACAATGCTTCTGTGTTTCCAAGAAGTAATTACATGTTAATATGCGTACATCTGAATTAAATAATCAAGCTGCAGAAATAGGCTTGTTTGTAGTAATAGCCTCTGTGTTTCTAAGCTGGGTTTTCTTGGCTTACGAACAGCTGATCAGGTTTCTTATTTAATTAGAAAACAGCCTACAAAAAGATATCCTGAGAACTTGAAATTACATGTGCTACTGCAGAGTGGGAAGAAAAAAGATCCTTGCTGTATCTCTCCAGCTCCTGATTTAGTGATAATTTCATTTGTGTTCCCCCCCACCCTCCCCCCAGGGATCTGGTATGACCAGTCTTTATTTTTCTTTTCCTCTCCTTTGAGTATTAATAAATGTCAAAATGGAGTAAGTGTGAAAACACTGCTGCAGGAGGAGCGGAGATCTGGGGAGCGATCCAGCATGGCAGGGAAGGGCTGGGGAGGGGGAGCCCAGCAACTGGAGCAACTCACATCTACCGCCTGCGTTGGGGTCAGGCTGATGCTGTGTCATGGAGCATAACTGGAACTGTTTGTGTGAAATGAAATAATATTTTTTGGGGGACAAACAGTGCCCCAAAGGGGTGGGTCAGTATGTAGTGTTGAAAAATAAATATAACATCCACTTGAGAACTGGCTTTGTGAGGCCAGAGCTTCTGTGCTGCAGCACACGAGATGTTGGTTTTGAACAGTGGAGCGACTGTTAAAATATTTAGCATGTTTTTAAAATAATACAAAGAATTTGCTAGCTTGGAATTAATGGGTTTTTTTTCCTGATAGAAAAATGTTGTTGTTGACAATATGATTGAAAAGAAAGATGTTCTTTTCCTTGTTTCTATTTTGCTGTTTGTTGCTCTGAAATAGCTGCTGTTCCCTGGCTCCAGCGTGCCCATCTGTCATCCCCAGCGTTTGGTACATTGTTTCCCAAGCTAGCTGTGATTTAACGTGGTATCTAAATAGGGCATGTAATGAAGGATACTGCTTAAATCCCTCGGAGAGAATCTGCAGGGCATCTGTGATCATTTGCACGGTTTGGTTGGTCGTAACCCGGGAGGAGAACGTGGAGTCTCTGAAGATGTGAACTGTGATGCGCAGTGACTCTGTTTTCAAGTGTGCTCTAAGAGACAAGGGGCACCTCGGAATTGTCACTAATGCTGTGGAAATCAGTGCGCTCATCTGAAAGAGAACCTGCAAGATTATTTTTTTCCCTTTTAAAGGAGAGGTTCACTTTTAAAAAGAAGTAGACCAGATGTCTACTGTTTTTATTATCTGCTTTGGTTCTAATTCTACCTTCATCCTTTTTTTCTCTGGAGTTTTTAAAGATACGTTATTTTTGTTTCTGAAATGAAATGAAAGAAAAGCCACTTTTCTGTGTTATGAAAACCTCTGTAATTTCTTTTTCTCACTAATCTTCCCCTCTGCCAACGCCCCCATGATCAGCCTGAAGGAGTCGGCACCATTCACGCTGGCAGGTTGGGTGTAGGGCAATTCATCATTTTCCTGAAAACTTCCTCAATTCGGCCAGCCTCCTGAAATTCGGCCTCATTCCCCGTGTTCTCCCTGATTGTGAATCTGATTTCAGGGGAGGAAATGTTGTTGTTCTCTTTCACTGTTTGGAGTAACTGCTCACCTCTGGAATAAAACACAGTGAAGGGAAGAATTCAGGCCTTCTGTGAGGCTGAGAAGGAAGTTTTAGACTGGGGAGTGAATAACTTCCCATTTATTACAATGCTTGGACTAGCAAAAAGCTCCGGACTGGATGTAGATGTTATACATCCCTAAAGTGTGGCGTTTTCTGAGTGATGAGGTGATAAAATACTGCAAAACATAGTAAATACTTTGCCTGCCTTCCCTGTGTGCTCTTGTGTGCATGTTCCTAATAAGATCCTGTGTAATCCCCTGCTGCTCCTTTTTTTCTTTTTTTTAATGCATATTGGGGAACTTGGGCGTTTGCAGTGAAGCTTCCAGGAGAGTGACAGCAATAAGCAAAAACTTCTCATTGCATTGACCAAATGGCAAACTGGGAGGGTCTTTTGGGAGGAGGGGAGAGAATGAGGTGGTCTCTTAACGGCAGCAAGTGGAAAAACCTCACATCCAGCCACTAATTCCTTCTACCCAAGTGTATCGAGTGCTCTGTAAGTGCTGACCTCCGCCTCATCATCCCCGTGCTGCTGAAAGCCCTGTGCTATTCGCGGATAGAATGAGAAACGGAGACAGGGAAGTGAAGTGGTTGCATCACCATCTCCTTTACAGTCCTGGGCTGATGCGAAACGAAGCCGTGACCTCCCAGCTCTGTGATGCCAGGGCAATGCAAACATCTGGCGGGTTTGGTCCTTCCCTTTGTGGTGTTATATCATCCCAGTGTGTGCATGCGTAGAGGATATCATCTTCACACACAGTCAGAGTTCTTTCTGCAAAACTGTCCCCTCGTAGCAGGATCACTGTGAGGTTGGGCTGTTTGAAAGACACCCGACTGAAGTGGAATGAACCCAGAAAATGGAAGCGTTAGCTTTGGGTGCTGGTTGTAAACTGTCCGTACATTGTGAGTAGTTCTAGTGCCACGAAGCGATGCTTTCTGAGTGTGCTCTGGGGGCTTTGTGTGTGACACAAGAGGGGGGCTTTTTCCTCTCAACTGAGACATGCAAAGAGAATTTGCAAAGAAACGCTGGGTTAGTGTTTCCCATTGTTGTATGCAGTGCTTGTTAGCACTGAGACGATTTATGAACTCTGAGCAAGAGGGTAACAAAACGTTTCCTTGCTCTTTTTTCAGTATTCTAAGAGTCTATTCATAAAGGCAGCGATGCACAGAACTTTATTTCAGAACAAAAAAAGTCCCCAAACACCTTTTCTGAGCAGCAAGCAGCAGCAATCAGTGTTGCCCCTCAGACTTTGTCCTTTTGGTTTTTTTTAATGCATTAGACAAAGTTTTTGCTTTTGACTGCAGATGTGTTATTTAGGAAAAAAAAAAAAAGTAGGTTCAGGTTTTTCCTGTACAGCACAAATATGCTCAGTATGTTCTTGAATGGGTTTTGAGGCATTCCGAGGGCTTCTGGTGGTGGTGGATCAGCGAACAGGCTTTTTTCCGTCACAATGCTGCCACTGGCAGTTTATTTGCAGAATTACACGTGGCGTTAATCAAAGGCTGCGAGAAGTGCGTGTAATGGAAAGATTTGGATGTTGTTTATTAAGCAGAAAAGATGGAAATTACTGTAACAGCCAGGCTGGTGTGGACAGGAGGGACGGTGTGAACTTTCTGGTCCAGTAACCTGGGACTTGACTTGTAAATGTGAGTGTTTAAGAGCAATCTTAGGAGGGTCTAGAGAATGGGAGTCCAGAAAAAACAAGCTGTGCTTGCAGTTGCCTCATGCCACAAGAATGTTAATTCCCTCTGGGCCTTCCCCTGGTCTTCAAGTGTTTGGGAGCAGTGGAAAGCGTTGACTACTGAGGCTTGCAAAGAGGAACTGGAGCAGAGTCTGTAATAACTTGATCTCAGCGTTCTCTCTCAAAGTGCTGTTTATGCTTCTAAGAAGGAAGAAACTGGGAGCTGCGTTCTGAAATGAAAAGGGAGCACTTGAGAAGATAGCTTGTATGGATTTTGCTGTTGGTTCTGTGAGGTGCATGAGCAGTCAGGGCTGATAATGATGGGGATTGAAGTGCAGCATCCTGTCCTTTTGTGCAAAGGAGTGTAATAAAGAACATCCCCAATTATGTCTGGATCCATCTGCCCTTGGGGGAAAAAATCTGATATCTCTTGGTTCCAGCTGTTAAGAATGGTTGCATTGAATTGGATTACTAATGGTTTTCTTTTTGCCGTGTTTGGCCATAAATACTTCTTGTTTGTAGAAATTAGCAGACTAAGATCATGCTGCATGAGGCCAAACATTCCAGTCCTTTCCTCATCCCTGCTTCTTCTTCTCTTGGGTTGGGTTTTTGTGAGTGAATGCATTAGTATGTGCTGGTCAGAACCAGAGATAGCACTGTGTGATGATGCCCAGGGTTCTTGTTGTCTCTGTCTAGAATTGTTAGCGCGTTGCCCTTCTTTCATTGTCGTAGAAATATATTTTCCTCCCTTTTGGGTCTTACCTGAGGTTTTTCTTCAGTGTGAAAACAAATACTTTAGAAGATTGTGTCAGATGTGGTCCGATTGCCTTTTTAGTAATGCCTCCAGACCTTCTTTTTCAGAGTAAACGGGACCACCTCCTTATGAATGTCAAATGGTACTATCGCCAGTCTGAAGTCCCAGATTCAGTCTATCAGCATTTGGTTCAGGACAGACACAACGAGAACGGTAAGTTGGGCTCTGTAGGGTAAGGCCTCCTTTACTTGTATTCTGCATTTTAACAGCCCAGAAAAGCAAGAACACTTTTGCATAGGGGTGTGAAGCAAGGACTGTTGATGAAAACAAGATTTTAGAAGATGGATGAGAGTGTTTCTTACCTGCCTTGTTCTAACTAGCGTACGTCCTGTAACCATAGCTATCCTCAGATGCATCGCAGGTATGGTTTAAATCCTCTGCTGTGTTATACTAATGCCTTGAGAGAGAATAGAAAAGAAAAATAACATTGGATCCTTTGTAGGCCTTCTGGACAGTGTACTAATACCTAACTGGCTGAAGATCTACTTGTCTTAAATTGTGAATCTCTTCTGTTTTTTGTGATTCTGCCATAGTGTTATGTGAACTGCATTTTTACAGTCATGCTACCTTGCACGTATAAATACTCACTGTGATTAATAATTAAGGAAGTGATGTAACTGAAGCACTCATAGTTGAGTTCCCCCTTTTCTTTTTGCAAAAACAAGAGTGATCTTGGGTTTAATAGAAGCAGAAGAAACTTTAGTGCATATTCCAGTGTAATTTATCTCTTGCCTCTAGGGGAGACATAACATTTGCTTCTGTTCTTACCAGGAAATTTCCTTGAGGCAACTGTTAAAATTCTGAAGATACTCCAAGGTGAATTGTGATGATAAAAGTTGATGCTTGAAATTTGGAACACAGCAACTTTTTGGTGCATGACAGTACAAAGTTGAGCATATATTCTCCTTTTTGCAGGCATTAAGGACATTTTGTGTGTGCTTTTAGCAAAAGCTGCGCAAATCTAACATTCCTCTTAGAAGTTTCAAATAAATTAGTAACAATGGGATTATAGGCACAGTGTCAAAAACGAGCATTTTTGATAACATGGATGCTTTTTTTATGTCACTCTTGTGCATGTGAAGTATTTTTGTGTGTTCTTCCAAGGTATTATAAATAAATCTTGGAATAAGTAGTTTTTCAATGTTTTTGTTACCACTGAGAATTTTCTGTATTGGAACATGAATATCTATATTTATCTCCAAGCCAGAGCACCAAGCAGTTAGTACTGTCAAGGTTTTGTTGAAGATTTGAGATGAAATATGCAAAACAACCTAAACCTTATCCCAGAATCCAAAAGTCAGTGATAAATTCATTTGCCTGGTTCCTTCCACCTGGGAGTGACCAGTTCTGCTGGTCGGGGGCTAGGATGTGTCATCCAGTACCCCTCAAAGCTGTTCTTCTTCAGGCAGTTCTTTAGATACGGCGAGGGAGAATTCATCTGTAAAAGTGGATATTGTGTAATTTCTGTACCTTACAGCCCTGTAAGCAATCAGAATGTTTGTCATCTTAACACCAAGGGGTGTGTGTCTAGGAAACATTCTCAAACTTTGACCTGTAAAAAATACTGCAAAATGGCAATGATCAATGCTTTCAGACTACAGCTAATGTGTTGGTGGTTTTTTTTCTCTTTTTGTTTTTGCTTTCTGGCAGACTCTGGACGAGAGCTTGTTATTACAGACCCAGTTATCAAGAATCGAGAGCTCTTCATTTCGGATTATGTGGACACTTACCATGCTGCTGCCCTCAGGTAAGTTCTAGGGACGTGGTGCGGTGGCTCGGGGTGGATGAGGAAAAAACCTTATTGAGAGAGAGAGGGGCTTTTTCTGGTTTTGTGTGGGGATCCTTAGCATACTGCTCAGCTTTCTCCTCCTCTCCTGCAGTAATTAACTTGTGTTATCTGCTCTCATTCCAAAAGGAGCTGTAATTCAACAATCTCATTTTAATCTCAATTAATCAATGTTGCTCAGAAGATATTGTTTCCCATCATTGGCAATTTAGGTTGTTGCTGGTTCCTGCAGCAATACTCCCCTTCCCTCCTCTGTGTTTGATTTCGCTGTTAACAATAGCGTCTCCCAGTAAAGTGACTGTTAGTATGCTGCCCTGATTAAATTGCGTTGAAGGCTTTTGCTCTGAGGCACTTGCCATTGTTGCAGCTCAGCTGAGAGCTCCATTAAAAAGGAGCTGTACAGGCGGGAGGTAATGGGACCCAGGATTGTTCTCTGTGCTGTGGCCCTTCCCTGGAGGTTGCTGCTCTCTTTACCCACCAAGTTTTTAACCCCAGTGGCTAACCTTTGAGTAGGCTGAAGGGGATACACCCTTACTTAAAAATATTTTCAAATAGAACCAGGGAGGCATTATTTTTCAGCAGATTTTCAACATGCCAAACGTGCATGGATATTGTCAAAATGCAAATTGAATAATCTCCCTGATAATAATGCTCAGATGGCGTTTCACTAGAACCATATGGAGACGTTTTTTGTCAGAGTCACTTTGCTGGAGCCACTAGCAGAAGACAAACTAGCTGCAGCTTCTGGTATAAGGGCAGGGAGAAGGCTTTGATTTACATGTTAGACTTTTTTATCAACTCGTAACATTCCGGTGGTGTACTATAACCTCATGAAATTCCACGGGGCCTTTTCTGAGTTACAGAAGGTCACCTTCCAATTTTAAATCGGCGTGCTTAGAAACAGGCTAGCAGGAGGCGGGCTGTCTTATTGGAACCAATTTTGGAACTCTGTTTAAACAGAGAGCAAATGAACTATGTGTGTGGAATTTTCCCTGGGAGGATTTTAACTTCTACGTCCTTTCTGTTTTCTTCTTCAAAGAAAAGATAAAAATGGAATATGTGTGTATACCAAGCAAATGTGAAAAATAACCTCCTCTTCTCCCCTTCCAAAAAGAGGGAAGGCAGGTTACAAGGCAAAGTTCTTGGTGACTTGGTTGGTAAGCCTTTCTGAAGTGCTTTACCGTGGAAAGATTAGGAAGGGAAGCAAGCTTAGTGTTTCAGCTTTCCAGTGCAGTTTTTCCAGTATGCAGTGCTTTTAAGCTTTGCTTAAATGACTGGGCAAGCAGATCCAGTATTATTACAGGCAAAATAATTATTCATCTTGGTGTACTGGTGCCAATAGCACTTTTCATTTTTAACCAAGACTGGCAAACCTTTTTACAATGTTAAATGAGCCCCACAGCAGCTTATTTGTAACAGCAAAAATACTGTTCTGTAAATATAGGTGAGAAGAGATGCTATCTGTATTAGTGCCAGAAACCTTGACATACTGAAAAAGAGCAAAATCTTGTGCTTTGTTGATTGCGTTGAATCAGGTTTAGGTAAAAAGCACTAACTCTTTGGCTGTCTGGCCTGTTTGTCTCTGCCTGCTTCTGATCTGGTTTACTTGGCAGCAGCAAACCGCGGTGCACAGAGTGACAGAACACGAGCAGCTGTTGAACATTAACAGTCCAACAAACCCTTGAGGAAATGAGATGCAACTTCTTACAGCTAGTCTTCGTGCTCATCCTTAAGGATAATGACTTCAACAAACTGTATTAAAAAAAAATATTAACAATCTGTTGTAGAACAGGCTAATAAATCCTCTTTTCTTTCTTTTTTTTTTTTTTTAATGACTTTGTGTTTTATGAGAGTAGAAGGAAGAAACTTCTGTAGGTTTGGAGTTTGCACTGTTAGGATTGCAGTCTCGCTAAAAACAGCATAGCTTTGCTTTTTGTTTAAAGTCTTATTAAGCCGAAGTTTTATGTAGCTTTCTAAATAAAAAGCTGACTTTACCAAATAATATGAATAGTAGAACTTTTGAACCTTCCTTAAAGACCTGATTGTAATAGGACAGTGAAAACTTTGAAAATAAAGACATGTTCAGGGTTGTGTTTCCACCGTGGACATTGTTCGTTAGTCTGATTAAATGTGGGCTCCGTAGATCTGTGTGCTGAGGGAATGAGAATTAATGAATGTTTGTACAACACCATCTGAGACATTGTAACTGATTTTTTTTTTTTCCCCCCCACCATGGGAAGAAGAATCTGCATGGTTATTTGTTACAACAGGCTTGTATTTATGATGTTTTAGACATTTACGAGAACACAAGGATGTCTGCGGCTTATACACAGATTGCAGTGGCACTTAATTAAACCAGCTGTTACTCAGGATAGAATTCTAATACCGTTTTTCCTCTTTCTTTCAGAGGGAAGTGTAACATCTCCCATTTCTCTGACATATTTGCTGCTAGAGAGTTTAAAGCCCGAGTGGATTCATTTTTCTACATCCTGGGCTATAATCCAGAGACAAGGTAAGTGAAGTGACTTTTCAAAGCAAGCTTTACCCCTGATCTGAGCCTGGAGGAACAGGGAAACTACTTGAGGGAAGAAAAGTTAAAATGAAGCAGGAAGGCGAGGGAAAAGCTACTTCTTCCTGCTGTGTATGTATAGGAGGAAAATTAAGAGTAGACAACGAAACTGTGCAGTGAGTCATGAGATCTGGTTGCATCTCTGGGTAAATAATGGACTGCTTCGAAACAGGTTTTTAGAACTGTGACATTTTTTTAAAGGTTGCGAACATTAGCAGGAAATCTTAGCTGTCTCATTGGCTAAATGCACACCCCTGAAAATACTTTAAAAAATACATTCACATCTATTAAGCAATGTTGAAACTTACAGACTTTTCAGAAATGAAATTTAAAGGTTTTAAATGTGGAAATTCATGCTTTCATGTGTAAATACCCATATAGGGTCCCATACCAAGAATTCCTAGTTTATGCTTTGCTGACCTAAAACACGTTAGACGTACAGCAAGAACTCTTTTTGGAAATGAATACATATTTGAAGAAGTTGCATTCAGCACGCTCTTTTGTTTCACAGTTCTTTGACTCTGCTGAGAGTTGTCCAGCCAATCTTTATCAGCTGTGGTTGGAAAGCAAAACCAATGCTAGACTGTACCTTCATTAGTTTTCAAGTCCAATCCATGACTCTTATTTTTTTCATTTATGTAAAAATTTGTAAATGTAATGTAAATGCTTTGTAAACACAGATAATACCTTACAAAACCAGCCTTAAAGAGTGTGTTGTCTAGGGGCGTATTTCTACGAGCACTTGCGTAACAGATTAATAATGTGTAACAGGGCTCAGCGAGATCTGCGCCGACTGAAAGTTGCATGGTTTCTTTCAATGCAGAAAACATCATTAGCTGTGAACCTTGATTTCCAGAAATACTGTTGAGAAAAGTCTTATTTTAAGTGGGAATTAAGATAGGCATATAAATGATAAATATTTGAATTGTTACATTGTAGATTTACTGTTTTTAATGCAGATATGAATCTTTATGCTTCAGGGCGTAGCCAACCACTAACTGCTTGCAGTTAGGAAGAAGCTCCCTGTGTGGGTATATTATTATTATTAATTGCCTGTTTATGGGGTTTCCTGAACCTTACTCTGAAGTGTCTTAAATTGTCCATATGTCTGAGATGGGATGTTGGACTAGGTGAACTCCCGTAGTCGAAGCAGTTTATGTTTATGGCAGGTATTGTCAGCGTACGTCCCTGGGACGCAGTCTTGCTAGTGTATGGCGCTGAGCTCTGGGAAAGGGGCATGAGATCCTTTAAAAATTTTAAAATACAATATGTTAAACTGTTTTGTAATATTTGCATTTTTTTTGGAGCAGCCCGACAAGGCGAGGCATTGATGAAGTTTGTCGTGATATCCCTCTGATATTCAGCAGACCCCTGTGCTTTGTCCTTTGTCTTCCATGCCTTTGAGTTAAAGTTCTGTGTTTAATGGATGACTTCTCTTATGAAATGCCATTTGTACCAGTTGTCAGTGCAGTTTAAAACCCTCCTTCTGTGTAGAAGTAGCTGTTAATTCTTCCAGCTGTTAGAAAATGACTGAGCCCAAGAAGATCAATGAAATGACAAAGCAGAGCACTTAGCGATCAGCTAATTACTCGGCTAGCCAGCTCTCAAAATGTAGGGTTTTCTTCATTTGGTTGCAGCCAGAGGTTTTTTTAATTCTAGCTCTTCAAGTCTGTGTTTTGCCATGGACTGGGGTGGGGGGAGGTTTAGAAAAAGGAGCTGAGTGTATGTTGCCTGGTTATTTTTGAGCTGTGTGTTTGTTGCTGTGAATACCTGATTGTAGATTGATTTTGCTTTTGAAAGTAAAAGTGTTGTAACACGCATTCCAAGATGACCTGTTAGTGGTTTGTCTATAAAACCAAAACTTTGTCTTGAACTTGATCTGCTTTTCTAATGTAGCGTTCTGTTCCGTGTGGAAAGGACGGAAAATGTTCATGGTGGCTTGAAGTAACGGCAGGTGGTAGGTAAGGTTCTGAATACTGCTCTGTGACCCCTCAGCTGACTTCTGGAGAAGCGGGGTAGGATACAGGCTGAGACCAAACAAGCTTGAGCTGTGGGCTGCATCTGCAAAGATATATTTCTGAGTGATTTTTGTGTTCAGCGTAAGATGCTCATATGCTTTTCCAGGACTCTCAAATGCATCTCAGTGGTGTGCGATTGATTTTTTTATTTTTTTATTTTTTTTTTTTTAAGATATGTTCTATTTGTAAAACAACCTGCAAAAATCCCAGACCTCAAAAACATCCAACACGCTGGTGTGGTGGATGTGTAATAAGAGGCCCTTTTGTTCCTGGAGCGCACAGTGCTAAAGGACAGCAGGCTTTGTCCTTCCTTTTCTGTTGAAAGCTTGCTGACTCTAGGTTTAGCTTTGGAAATATCAACCATGATCCCGTTGTGGATCATTCTGTGGTCTGGAAGTGGTAAACCTGTGAGTTTTGGGATAACTTTTTTTATTTACGGTGTGTATCAAGCTGTTAGCTGTTTGGGGGGTTTTTTTTCCC